ATAAGCACCGTGCACAGTGACTGGGCCGGGCACAGCTGGCCCCAGCGCACCTGATATTCCAGTCTGGACTGCCGTGACAGGCACCTGCGCCCATCCACTGCTTCTCTGTCCTCAGAAATCCTCCTGAGAAACCCAGCGACATCCAGTCTTTCTAAGCCCTGAAATTCAGTGATGGCTACTGTATGTAGCACCTATAGCTAAAAGATGTTTTAAAAATAATGAAATTTAACTGAGGGAAGCACAAACTGAACAGAAAAATTGTTGTTTGAGTACATGTGTTTTTATGTTAGGACATTTTGATGCCTACACATTCCCTGGAAAGTAGAAAGCCACTCGCTAAACTTTGACTTTTAAAAATAATGTAGAATGTTTCCCTCCTCTCTGTTGGTTGATGTAAATGATTAAATGCATATGTATATTTAAAGCATATTTGTTGTTTTTTTCCCATTTTTTTATTCATTCTAAAATTTGAAACTTAAAACTCTAGCTTTTCTACAAATTTAATTTCAAGAGATGTAAAAAAAAAATTCAAGAGTTGTAAGACTATGCCATTCATCTGTCACATCTTCTAGCTCCTAACTTTTAAGCCACATTTGCAGAAATTGCAAGGTAACATAGCCACACATGCATCATGACCTGTGATTCTGTTTCCTTTTTCTTTTTTTTATTAAATGTACGTTGCTCTGAAGTAAACGAACGATTCATTTTCAAAGTGATGTGTCGAGGACTGACCAGGCTGTGGCTCCTGAGATGGCCTTTGGGAGATGACCTTCAAGCAGCTGTGTCTCAGAGTGACCTATTCTGTACAATTTGGGGAAAAGAAACAATTTGGAACGTGAAGCTTTATCTGCTAATCATAATCCTACAGCTATTTCCTGATACTTAGGGTAGCACTTTAGCAAAGGTCTTTCACGTAGCAATATCCATGGCAGGAGTTTTGCCTGCAGAATCCTGAAGTCGTACTTTTCTGGAGTCTGAGGCGTGGAGTGTGGTCCTGAGGAAAGCTTTGGTACCGAGTCTGATCCACTCCCCCAGTACAACACAATCGTCACCAAGAGCTCAGGTTTTAGAGAAAAATTTTGAAATGCTTTCTTCAGTTTATAGTTGATTAAACTGCCATCTGCTTTAAGGCCCTGGTGCAGTTGTGTTCCTAATGTCTTTCAAAGTCTTTCCTTTCTTCTTTTTTCCCACGTTCCTTTAGCGTTTTTTCTTTTTCCCACATCAGTTAGGCAGACGAATGGGGTTCAGTGCATATATTTTGCTCATGTCAGCCCCCTTGCTACCCACTGCACCCTGCCTTTCTCCCCCCTTGCCCCTCCCTCTGTCTAACAGTCTCTGCTTTCTGTCCTCTGCTCAGATCCACATAGTAGGAAGGACGCACCATACTTGTCTTTGAGTATCTCCAGATCCATGTGTTTTTCTCCAGGGACAATCTTTTGTTCTTTTTCATGGCTGAATAATACTTCACTGTGAATACAAACTACATTTTCTTCATTCCTCTGCTGATGGGCACTGTGCACACTGACTTCAGAGTCCTTCCCCTTGTGAACGGGAGCATGGCCCCTGCCCTCAGAGGTGGTGCTGCTTGCTGGCCTTTTCTTTCCACATGTCTCATCTTAGTATATTCTGAAAAATGCGCCGAAAAATGGGGAGAAATGCGCCAGAAGGGGGGCGCGGAGAGCCGCAGGCGGGGCCACGTGGGCACTGCCTGGCCCAGAGGCTTCTCTTCCGTCTCCCTGTGCCTCCCTCTCATTCTGTCCACCTCCCTGTCTCTCTTTTTCTGTTTCTCTTTCTCTGTCTCTCTGTGTCTCCCTTTTCTCTGTGTCTCTGTCTCTGTCTGTCTCTCCCTGTCTGTCTCTCCTTCTGTGTCTCTCTCCTGCCTGCTCCGTCTCTGTCTTGCTTGTGTCTTCTCTCTCCATCCACTGCTTTCTCCCTCCTCACCTCCCTCTCTCTTTCTTCCCTAAAAAGTGCTCTCACTGACCCCTCCCCTGAGAGGCTGAGACCCAGCGTGATGCTGCGTGATGACAGCGCAGCTGAGCAAGGTGGAGGCAGCAGCTGACCATCCCTTGGGCCCTTGCGTCTTAAACGTGGGCGGGTGCTCTTTTTTCCTCTATTTTTAGAAGAACCTGGCTTTTATTGGTAGAGCTGTCAAGGACTGAAAAACATAAAGAATGTCCTTCATGTCTTAGGAAAAATGTAAAAATGTGGCAGTGGTAAGCAGGATCTGGTTATCAGAAATATCTTGTTTGGCCGTTACTGTATTTTAAAAATAAAGTTAGCCCGGGCATAATGGTATCCGCCTATAATCCCAGCATTCAGGAGGCTGAGACAGGAAGACTGCTGGGAGTTCGAGGCCAGCCTGAACTGCATAGTGAGACCTTTTCTCAAAAAGACCAAAAAAAAGACAAAAAATAAATAATTAAATAAAGTTAGTTGCCAGTACAGATACACGAGATATCACGTGAAAATCCAGATTCTTCATGAGAAATCTGGAGAAAAGTCAATATAAGAAGACAGTGGTTGGCCTGGGGTGGCTGCTCCTTCTCTCCCAGTGCCTTCCTTCGAGGCCGCTTCTCAAGTTGTCCTGGGGCTGTCGGCCGCAGCCTCCGGGTGCTGCCCTGAAGTCTACACGTGACTGATGCTGTGTGGTGTCACCATGCTCGAAGGACAGCCCAGTCCCACAGAGCCCTTGACTCCAGCCCTAAGGCGGGTGTGGTGTTCCCTCCATACTTAGCGGACGGTGCCCTGGTCCGACCTGTCCGCCAGCTCGTGGAGCTTTACTTTGACACTGACCTGCAGTATGTCTCCACACCCAGAGCACGGCTAGATCTGTGAGTGGGATGTCTTTTAAGTGAGTGATGTGATTTAGGAGCATTTCAAGAAGGTAAGCGCTCACAAGAGATCAAATCCTTGAAAAATGAATGTGCTCAGTATTTGGAAAATCTACTTTTGGCCAAAGAAGACATTCTGTAAGAGGGTGATTCTTTGTTTTGAGTAGAAGAAAATATGGACAGAGGTTTTTGCTTATTAAGTACCTGAAAATATAACTTAATTCTCAAACTCGTCTTATTTTGAAATATGAAACCAACGAAAGTGGTTTCTGTGAGGTCTAGCTTTACTCTGCAAAGTTTATGTTTTCTTCACATTTTCCTGCAGCAAGGGATTTATAGCAGCGATTCCTGCTCTGAGGGAGCCGGTTAGGTCACCTCATCTGAGGGCTCCTAACCATTTGCTTGGTTTAAGGTTCAGGCTCTGCACTTTAGAGTTTAATTAATGTAATGATTGGAAAATGTCTCTAGAGCCGAAGATTAAAGTGATTTATTTACCTTGAACCTTGGGAAGGAAAGGTGACCAGTAGACTGAGCAGGTTTCATTGAAAGGGTCAAGTTGGAAATGGAAGAAGTTAGAAGTAAACTTTTGACTTGTTTGGGAGTTCATAGGCAAGTTCAGTAAAAAATCAGTTCAGAAAGGAGGAAAATATACACATCTGCATATAATGTGACCCTAACATATTTATATTCACTTGTTTCCTAAGTAGGAATTTAGAAATATCTAAAACCTTTAGACACATAGATGATCAAATAATTACATTTTAACATATTAGCAAATAATTACATTTTAACCTATTAATTTGCTCCCGCATATATATTGTAAGATCACAGTGTACATAAGCTGTTAACTTACACATACTATTTTTTCCACTCTTACAGTGTGTGGATAGATTTTATTCAAATCGTTCACATGCGATTAGTCCTTGGTCCTCACGGAAACTCTGCTTGGAGTTGAATCTCCCATTTTTCTAGGACATAGTACTTCTGCCTCAATTTCTTGAGGCTCGGTAATTTTCCGATACCGGTGATTGTTACTGTAAACTGAATGTTACCGTAAGCACTATTTGCATAATAGAGGGACAGTTATTTTCAAAAAAGTTTGTCCTCTTTTTATTACTTTTGGTCTCTAGCAAGTAACCTCCCAAAACAGTGCTTCTTAAAGTTACCTTGAGTAGGACTTTTGCATGGTCATGACAACATTTGCAGTTGTGAGAAGTAACTACTCAGTCTCTAGGAAATTTGCTTTCAAAAGCAGTTTTTCTAGATTATAGCTGTGAGCACTTAGAGCTGGTAATGATGGAGTTGCTCAGCCTAATGTGCTTTCTCCAGGCAGCAGAGTTTAGAGGAGGGATGACCAGGAAGTGATTCCTTTCCCTGAAAAACAACCTGGCACAGCTCTAAGACTCCTGTTGTGTTTTTTGACCCTTTGAAGGTTGTTCTTGAAGTTTTCAGTAAAGTGTGATGAAGTAGATAGCCTATTCAGTGACCAGTTGGGTGACGCTGTTTACTGGGGAGACTTTCTCCTTACCTTAGGCATGTCACCCTCACTGAGATAACCACCTGCGACTAACGGCTGCACCGATGGTGGGTCTTTCCTGTGGACGTCTCCAGAGTTGTGTACTAGTATTTGTGTGAGATTCGCGTGGAAGGTTGTAGTTAATTCAGCAGGAGATGTTGTCCTTGTCCTCTCCCGATGACCTTGACTGTACCTTGAGCCACACCAAGAAGATGAGGGCGGCTGGGCCGTTATCACCCAGGATGATGAGGCAGATGTGTGATAGAGCTGGGGAATGAGCTTGAGAATCTAATGGCCGCTGGCTCTGCCTTGGCTGTTCAACAAGACACTTGCTTCCAGACGTTTAGGAACGCTGAGGTGGCAGACATTCTGGCTTTCGTGTCCATTTGTTTGTTTGCTTTGCATTGCTTGCGTGCTAGGCGAGTGCCCTACCACCCAACTGCCTCCCCAGCCCTACTTCCATCTCTTTAATGAAAAAACTCCCATGGCAATATTTTGCAGGAAAGAGTAGCTCACTTATGCTCCAGGGCTTCGGCTTTCTACGAAAAGAAATTAATGTCATTACTATACCAAAATATGATGGTCGAGAACTCCACATTTTAACGATAAATACTGAAAATAATGATGACTTAATCACTTTTATCTCTTCACAGTGGAAAGAGTGGAACGAGAAAACCTTTCAGACTATTGTGTTCTGGGCCAGCGTCCAATGCATTTACCAAATATGAACCAGCTGGCGTCCCTGGGGAAAACCAACGAACAGTCTCCTCACAGCCAAATGCACCACAGTGCGCCCATCCGCAACCAAGTGCCAGCGCTGCAGCCCATCATGAGCCCCGGCCTCCTCTCACCCCAGCTCAGCCCGCAGCTTGTCCGGCAGCAGATCGCCATGGCCCACCTGATCAACCAGCAGATCGCCGTTAGCCGCCTGCTGGCCCACCAGCACCCCCAAGCCATCAACCAGCAGTTCCTGAACCACCCGCCCATCCCTCGGGCAGTGAAGCCGGAGCCCACCAGCTCCTCCGTGGAGGTCTCTCCCGACATCTACCAGCAGGTCCGAGACGAGCTGAAGCGGGCCAGCGTGTCGCAGGCTGTGTTCGCCAGAGTGGCATTCAACCGCACACAGGTACCGTCGGCGTCTGGGGTCACTGGCGGCCCAGAGCCAGAGCGACGTAGGCAAAGGGTTGTGATGCACACACGCTTAGATTAGTAACCCTGTGGTCACCAAGTATGGTCCCCATCGATCCATGCATGAGCTGAGTCAGCTAGTTAATCAGTTCCTGTAGCATAACGGAACCCAGCACCTGAATCAGGACCCAGAATTTTGCAGTGGTTTGGGGCTGGGTGCATGCTTTACTCTTCTCTGGATGTGAACTTGATCGTGGATTTTACCATTACCATGCCTTGGTTAGAAAAAAAAAAAAAACCTGGTTGTAAATTACTTCTGCGTGCCCAAACAACCTGTTGTTTATCTTGTTTTGAACTGTAGGAAAAGAGTATCATTATGTCATAATTCCTGTAATTTTTATAAACCCCTTAAAAGTGCAGCGTAGTCCTAAAATATTGATAATGGGTAGAGTACTCGTGTTCTTAATGTTTCAGAAGCATTATGTGCAGATTGGTGAAGAGCTCGCTCTTGCATGTCTTGTCTGGCTCTGGCCAGTTGTGTGAACAGTTCTTTTCCATCAGAGGTTTGAAACTTGAATGCATCAGCGTTACCCAGAGCGGCTGTTAAAACACAGATTTTTGGCCGGGCGTGGTGGCGCATGCCTATAATCCCAGCACACAAGAGGCTGAGACAGGAGGATAACTGCGAGTTTGTGGCCAGCCTGGGCTACATAGTGAGTTCAAAGGCAACCTGAACTACATTGTGAGACCCTGTCCTAAAGCGAACAGCAAAGCAGATTTTTGGGTGCCACCCAAATTCTGACTTCATCTGAGGTAGGATCCAGAAAACCTTTTCTCGGAGGAGATCTGAGGTGATACTGACGCTGTTGCTCGAGGTCCAGTGTGAGAGTGAAGGGGAAGGGGCTGAGCTCGGGGCTCTGGGGGCACAAGGGAGCCAGGCGAGTGCCCGGCAGCAAGCGGCGTGGCCTGGGCAGGGGCGGCAGAGGGCCCCTGCTGGGGAGAGGGCAGCGGCGAGCCTGCGGGAGGAAGCCTTGCTCCGTGCGGACCCAGGGATTTGAGGGCGGCCGGCTGGAGAGCTTGGTGGACCATCTAGAGCACGGGTCAGCTCTCAGAGGTTACAGGAAACGTGAGCGGCGGGCTGCAGGAGGGTGTCACAGTGCAGGGACTGCCAAGGAGCCTGTGAGTCGGAGGCTGAGGGCGGGTGGTGGTGACGGTCAGGATGGAGAATAAGGCTCACGGGCCGCGGGCACAGGGCAGTGCCTGGCCAAGAACTGAGCCTTGGCCCCTGGGCACTGGGGAGGGTCCTGTGTGGGTATGAGCTGTGACCAGCTGACCCAGCGGCCAGAACTAGCTCACAGGGGAGATTTGTGTGCCTCTTGTGAGAGTCAGACTTTGGGATCTAGACCTGGAAATGTGGGTCGAAGTCTCGAGAAGGTCAGCAACGGTCCTCGAAAGCAAGGACTGGGCCTCAGAGTTCCGAACGCTAGAGGAAGAGATTAGAACATCTGTCATAGAGCTTGGGACCAGAGGAGTCAGGATGGAAGCGGAGAAACCAGCAGCACCCGAGTAGACACAGAAATGGCCGGGAGCAGGACGGTGGCCCCTGAAGGCGGGGCGCAGTGGTGAGCACCTCCGGGAGGTGAGCAGACCTTCCGCATGGAAGTCTGGAGGCCCGATGGGCTCAGAGCCAAGCCAAGTGTGCGTCCCATGCCCAGCTTCTGCCTGGTTGTGTAGACGGCTGCTTTGGCCCAGGGTGACGGGGAGCGGGGTTGTGTCAGTGTGGACCTTAGCCGCGAATGCGGTGGACCTTTCCCCCGGAGAGCGTGAAAGCCCCGGTCTCACCATGAGGGGAGACGAAAGCCAGAGCGTCCTGCCGGGAGGGTGCCCGCCCGGCCAGTGCTCCTGGAGGTCTGTCTTCTGCAAGGCCTTCTTTGTCTCTTTTTATGGATTAATGATTTTTCTCTGGCATTGCCATCTTTGAAGTGCCACGTTATAAAAGGTCTAATTGAAGCATGGAACACATTTTACTGTTTTCCCCCGCCATTAAATGTGTAAGATGGCTACACCCAGCGAGAAACATTCACTTTCAATCAGCGTGAGCCGGGGTTCCCGGGCCAGCCTTGAGCACATCGAGTGGAAACTGCGGAGGAATGTATGAGCACTTCCTTTTAAAATTCTGCTTTTAATTTGGGAAAGCTTTTCATCCCTCTGGGATCATAACCTGTTGTGTATAATGCCCAGCCTAATCAAGGCATTGACAGAGTGACATAGTTTGAACTCGAGCATGAGGTCAGCGGGCTGGTGGGTTCTGCTGCACGGTGAGACCGGGGTTGTGAGCGGGAAATATGGTGCTCTGGGCCCCGGAAGCCACCGTAGGGGGAGGCTGTGTTTCAGTGGAGTCAGGCATTTAGGGCTGACATCATAAGTTGGTAGCCATGATAAAAAATACATTTAATATTATGGATTCTGTGACTTATAAGTGAATTGCTCATCTTCGGATAGAGAAGAATTTTGACTTCTTTTTCTCAAACCACGTTCTTGCTGGACACCTAGTGCTAGCGCGAGGCTCATGCTCAGCTCCTTCGCTGCTGTGTGGCTGTCTTCAGATGCTTGAGTATTTTCCAGAAAGAGTTCATGATCTCTAGACCTCATTTATCATCAGATTCAACAAAAAGCATTTTGATACATGTTGTCACCGTGCAGTTTATTTCCTGGATTGTACTTGAAGCTTTTACTTGGAAGAAATCTGGCTAGGATTTCAAGCTCAAATCATATGGAAACACTCATAAATACAGCTAGAACTGTAAACAGAAAGCCCTGTCTTCCTACTTTTCCACGTGTAAGATTTCCAGATGAAAAAACTCCCGCTCATAGTAACTATTTGGAGATGCCGCTTCTTCACACAGAAGCCACTGACGCCCATGGCCGCCGCGCAGCGCGGTGCCGTTCGAAGATGTGCAGCAACCTTATGAAAGCTGTGTTTCTCAGAACGTCTTTGATTGCTGTGTATTTTCATAATGATGCCTTTTAAAAACAGAAAGTACATACTCGATAAAGTGGTGCCTTACCCGAGCTCCTTGGGAAGGTCGTAGCTGCTGCTGGAGTGGTGTTTCCTTGGGTTTCTCTCTGTTTTATTAACAAAAACACACACTGTGCAAATGGAGGACAGAAGCAGGAGCCGTGTGTATGGGACGAGGTGCGCAGGGCCTCCTGGAGATGGCCCGTCCCGTGGGTGCGCAGTGTGGGCGGAGGCCCTGTCCGTCCTGGTCCGCAGAGTGAGTGGCCCTGCTCTTCCTGCCAGGGAGGAGAGGATGAGACATTTCTACCTGGTGCCCGCTGCGGCCCATCCTAGCACTGTCTTCTGTGGTGCAGCATGAGCCAGTGTGGCCCGTGATGCCCACCCTGCCCCGCCTTCCTCAGGCTGTGGAGCTTGCCTCGCTCTCACCGTGACAGGACAGGGAGCTGGGAATGTCCAGCCTCCTGGGCTGATGCCAAGAGGTCCTGAGGGCATCACAGTGCAGGACGGGTGCTTTCTGGCCTGGCTTCTCAGCGGGCCCCTGGCCTGGGAAGCTGTTCCTCGCAGGGACTATGGTCTCAGGACTGGCTTTTCTGCCACAGTCGAGGTCCAGGCTGGTGCCGGCCCACTGGACGTTTGTGCCACGCAGGGAGGCATTGGAATAAGCACAGCTTCATTTTATGTCCATTCTTTTTACAAAGCGAAAGCCAAGAGCTTTTGTGGGGCTGGGACGAGATGTTTACTCCACCGCTTTATTTGGAAAATGTCACTGTCATCCTTGTGAACCTGGGCTCCCTCAGCTCATCGGCGGAGACTGTTTCTATCTAGATGGACCAACGGCAAGATGGGGAGAGAGGCAGAGTGAGCCTGAGTGCCCGTGAATGAGACGGGGACAGACGCAGCGTTCGGGAACTGGCCTGGGGAGTTCTTGCCGAGCTGCCCTGGTGGACCTTCCCGCGAGTCTCCGGAGTCTCAGCAGCTCCGCCCTGGGTGCGGCGCGGCGTCTGCAGGGAGAGCTTCAGGAAGCAGCCGGACCTGACTTTCTCCTTCACATCCCTCTTCCTCGCCTGTGACGTGCGCGTGGCCGGGTGCTGACACGTTTCCACTTGCTGGCTCGGTGGGTGCAGCTGAGTTGCTTGACTGTCACCTGTTTTTACATCTTTGCCTTTCACGGTGTGATTAGGAAGCCCGGTCTTCAGCTTTTGCCTCTTGTTGCAATGTGGACTTAGAAAAATTAACCAGAGCCTGTGCCAGCATGAAAAGGCTGGTGACAGAATTTAAAAGACTTAACGTTACTGATGTCCAGTGACCCGTGATAAGCAATGACTCATAAAATATGTATAGCGAAGCTTCCTTAATAGATAAACTATTCTCTAATTTATTTAAAACTCCAATGACCTACATCTTCATATGTCAGAAATCCCTACTTGCTGACTTCACCTCTCCTCGGAGACCTTCCTTCCATCGAAGCAAATCTGTTAAATGAAGTAGAGGAGTCTATGATCCAAACAAGCCTAAATCCATGAGAGGCTGTGCGCTGCATGTGCAGGGGACAGGTGTGGCCCTGGGCTCCTTCCTGCCCTGCTGGCCCTGGGCTTGTGTGGCAGAGCTCTGGAAGGAAGCGTCCTTGTGCGGGAGTTTTATCACCAGAAATGACCCACGCGTCACTTATGTAGTCTCTCTGCCGCTCTCCAGACCTTGCCGGACCTCAGAAAATTCAAGGTTCTTCTAGCATCTCAGGTCATTCCACTGGGCCAGTTCTCAGAAATACGGGTTTGGCCAAAGCACAGATGCGTTTTGCAGGATTTGTTGTGCTTTTTTCATGGTGGGTCTTACTCCTTGTAATGACCTTGCTCGGCCACTGAAGGTCAATGCTAGCCCCTTGCAGCCTTGACTGGGGACCTGGGTGGAGGACGCCAAGCGCCCTGCACACACCTGGGGGAACGCAGGGCCCACAAAACCCTCCGAGAATCATCGGGTGG